GGCCGGGCCTGGGCGGCCGCGCCCTCCCCAAAGACCAAAACTCCGGGCGGGGCCGCCGGGGGTTGAGCGCGGACCCCCAGTACCCTAGGCTGCTCAGGACTCGGAATGCGGGCTCTGGGGAAGTGTCAGCTACGTCCCGGTTCGGCCACGCTCGGGGGCGTCAGAGCTAGAGCGCTACGAGGAAGCGGAGGGGTCTGGGCAGGTTATGCGTGAGGGTCTGGGATGTGGGCAGGTCCCTCCTGCGGTGAGCTGCGCCTGCCCCACCTCCCACGCTGCCTGGAAATACCCGGGTGGGACTAAGCCCCAGTGGTACCTCGCGCTGAGGTCCTGCGGTCTCAGTGTTGCCCCAGGTACTTTGTAGCCTTGGTCTGCAAAGAGGGTCCTGAGAGTACTGACCGCAGGCAGCATACCCGAGTTCTAGATCACTGACCCTCACAGTTGGAGACAGCCTACAAATGCTTAGGATCCCTGTGTCTCTTTGGAGCCGGGGTGGGATTCTGGCTGGACCCTGAAATCTGAGTGCTAGGAGCAGTTTGAGTTAGAACCGACCTGTGTACTGGGAACATTCCTTGTCAGGGTCCCCCAGCTCTGGTACCCAGTAGGGGAACCCCTTGGGGCAAGGGGACTTGAGTCTAAAACTCTAGGCATGATTTAGTGTGGGCCCTGCCGCTTGGGTCTGGGGTCTGCACATCCATCTGAGGGGGCTGCAGCCACCTGCTTGTGAGAGGAGGTGTTCCAGTATCCCTGGGGACATGCTGCAGTTGCTTTGTAGTCTAGGTTGCCACACATGGGCTGGGGCCCTCAGACTGTACCAAGGGCACCCCTGATGCAGGTGGGGAGTCAGTCAAGTGTAGGCTCCTGAGTCACGGAAACCTGTCCTCTGGGCTCTTTGTGAAGCTCTCCTGAGCTGACACCTCTTCACCTCCCTTTGGGGCCCTGGCTTCAAGGGCTGTGTGCCACCTAGTGAGGTTCTGCCAGCACAACCTGCTGCACCCACAGGTGTCACAGACCCAGGCTACAGGTGAGCATGGCCGAGCAGGAGCCCACAGCTGAGCAGCTAGCACAGATTGCAGCTGAGAATGAGGAGGATGAACACTCGGTCAACTATAAGCCTCCAGCCCAGAAGAGCATCCAGGAGATCCAGGAGCTGGACAAGGATGACGAGAGCCTGCGCAAGTACAAGGAGGCCTTGCTGGGCCGTGTAGCCGTCACTGCAGGTGAGGTTCTGTGCCCCACTCACCCTCAGGGCTTTTGCTGTCCCCTCTCCCACTGGAAGAGGGAAGAGCAAGGGGTGGGCTCTCACTTGCTGTCACTTCCCAGACCCCAACGTCCCCAATGTCATTGTGACTCGCCTGACCTTGGTGTGCTGCTCAGCCCCAGGCCCCCTGGAGCTGGACCTGACAGGTGAGTGGAGGGAGGCCCTGGGTGGGGCTCAACATCTTGTTGCTTCCTCTAAAAATAATTTCCTGGGGCACTGAGGCCCTCTGGTGGGCAGCACAGGAGGTGCAGCCAAGTGGGGGGCGGCAGCAGGTGCAGCAGGGCCCACTGAGTCCTGCCCACACAGGTGACCTGGAGTGCTTCAAGAAGCAGTCCTTTGTGCTGAAGGAGGGTGTGGAGTACCAGATAAAAATCTCATTCCAGGTAGGTGGCAGCTTTTGGAGGCATGGGGGGCGGGTGTGGTTTGGGGACTGACAGATACTGACTCTAGTTGGGCCCCTGCAGGTGAACAGAGAGATCGTGTCCGGCATGAAGTATATCCAGCACACGTACAGGAAAGGCGTGAAGAGTGAGTGAGGCCCCAGAGGTGGGGTGGGGGCAGCCTAGGTGTGTGTTCTGGGGACACACAAGCAGCACTGGTGACCGCCCCCTTCCCTGTGGCTGGCAGTCGACAAAACTGACTACATGGTGGGGAGCTACGGGCCTCGTGCGGAAGAGTACGAGTTCCTAACGCCAGTTGAGGAGGCACCCAAGGGCATGCTGGCTCGAGGAAGCTACAACATCAAGTCCCGCTTCACAGACGACGACAAGACTGACCACCTATCCTGGGAGTGGAATCTTACCATCAAAAAGGAGTGGAAGGACTGAGCCCCTGCCTGGGAGGCGGGCAGGGCGGACGGACGTGCCCCATCCCTTCCCAGCCCCTCCCCACCCCATACCAAAGTGCTGACAGGGCCTTTCCCCCGGCCGTCATTTCCACCCTGGTCTGTCTCCTGGCCTGGCCTGGCGGAGCTCCTCCGACCGGTTCCCCCTCAGCCCTTCAGCCCACAGGCCCCCAACCTCCTCGGTGGTCTAGTGTCTTGTTGCTGCTTTTGCCTGTGCTGGGGGAAGAGAGGCTCCAGGTCCAGCCTCTGCTGCCCTCTCTGTGTCCCTCCAGGTCCCCTCTACTTGTCTAGCCTGAGATCCTGGCTCTCAGAGGGAGCAGAACATCATGCAGGGTCTCACGGGCATGTAGATCCTCCTATCTGGGGTGGAACAGGGTGCACAGTGCAGGGCCTCCTGGGCCAACCCCAAGCTCCCAACCAGCTCCTCCATCGTCAGTCCCGTCTAACCATGATGCCTTAACACGTGGAATGTGCTGTAGGGCTGCACTAACCTCTAAGCCCTGTGTCTGCATGAGCATGTGGTCTCCCTGTCCTTGCCTTGTTTGTGATCCTGGTGGCCTGGGGAGTACTAGGTGTGTTGCTGTTACTTCCCAGCCTCTCCCCCTCCCCCAGCCAGGGCTGCTGGGACGGCTCCAGCCACTTAAAAAAGGCCAAATTGCCAAAACTCAAGTAGCCTCCATTCCCACCTGGGAGGCTGAGTGTCCTTATGCCTCTGCCTTCTCTGTGCCAGTGGGCTGCTCAGAGCCCTTCCTCCACAGAGAGCCCAGACAAAGCCCATGGCCCAGCCTTATCATCACACCTGGGCCCTGTCAGCCTGGAATTGTTGTGTGCCTGGCCTGTCAGTATTTATTGCCTCCAAACGTGCCGTCCTCTGGCCCAGCTGGCTTGCCACCTGTGCCCCCAGGCTCTCAGTGCTACCACCCCTGGGCAGGCCCTCCCTGGACCCAGCCAGGACAACCGGGACCAAGCACACACAGTTGGGAGCCATCTCCTGTGCCTCCCCACCCTGCCCCGGTCTTTGTGCAGCCTCTGCCAGGCCCAGGCATCCACAGGCAGCGGTGCCTGTCCCTGCTTCTCCTTTTCTGACCGGGAAATAAATGCCCCTGAAGGAGCCAGGGGTGATTGTGCTGCTTGGCGTCGCAGGGTCTGGGCAGGGTTGGGTGGTACAGGCAGGGCGTGATTCCTCCTCTGCTGCTTCTCAGGCAGAGAGATGGGGACCCTGCTGGAGGGCAAGGCAGGACAGAACAGAGGGCCCTGGGGTCGGGGTCCAAATGCCCTGGCTAGATGGAGGGGCCTGCACCTCCCACCCCTGGGGTATGGTCACTGCTGAGTCACTGTAGCTTTTTTTGAGATAGTCTCACTTTGTCACCCTGAGCAGAGGCCTGTGGTGTCAGCTCACAGCAACCTCTGTCTCTGGGGTCAAGTGATCCTCTTGCCTCAGCTTCCGGAATAGCAAGGACTAGAGGAGCCTGCCACAACACCTGGCTGTTTTAGAGATAGGATCTCACTCTGGTTCAGGCTGGTATCAAACTTCTGAGCTCGAGGGATCCACCCACCTCCGGCCTCCCAGAGTATGGGACTACAAATATAAGTCACTGTGCCTTGGCTTGGCGTCGGTGGCTCAAGCGGCTAAGGTGCCAGCCACATACACCTGAGCTGGTAGGTTTCAAACCCAGCCCGGGCCTGCCAAACAATGACAGCTGCAATCAAATAGCCAGGCGTTGTGGCGGATGCCTGTAGTCCCAACTACTTAGGAGGCGGAGGCAAGAAAATCACTTGAGCCCAGGAGTTGGCAGTTGCTGTGAGCTGTGATGCCACCACACTGCCCAGGGCGACAGTCAGTGTGCCTGGCTTCGCTGTAGCTGTTGATGAGGAAGGACTGGAGGGGCAGACCCTGTGGCTCAATGGGAAGGGTGTCGGCCCCATATACTTGAGGGTGATGGGTTCAAACCTGGCCCTGGTCGAACTGCAACAAAAAAATAGCTGGGGGTGGCACCTGTGTCTCAAAAGGGTAGGGCACCAGCCCCATATGCCGGAGGTAGAGGGTTCAAACTCATA